ATGCTGTGATATGTTTTACTGTTTTAAAACACTAATATTTGTGTTCAGTGAAGACTCCTGTGTACAACAGTACCCCCCATGTACAGGTTTTAGGGTGTCATGGAAAGTTACAAGGTTAAATACAGTGCTAGCAAATTAAATTCTCTGGACTTTCAGCCATGGTTGTCAGGCAGGTCCCTCGAATTGCAATCAATAAAATTACTTAATTATGTAAACATATTACATAAGTATATGCACATAGAATTTAAATATATATACATATTTATATATTTGAAGTCTACGTGTATATTTATGAAATTATTTATGTAATTATATATATGGACATGCATATTTTGTATTATTTTTATTTATTTATATATACAAATATATATATATATATACATATATATATATATATAATTTCATTCTAAGTGTATTTTGATATATATATATATATTAATATCAACAGACAGTTAGAAAAAATTACATATATATATGTGTTTATTTTTTTGTAATTATTTTTACTTTTTTATTTATTTTTAATGAATTATTAGTTATTTTTTATAATATATATAAACAATATATAGCTATTATATATATATATTATATACATGTGTAATTTTACTCTAAGTGTATTTTTATATTAATATAAGTATATATTAATAAAACAAAAATACGCTTAGCATGACGTTATATATAACACAAAAAACACAAATGATAAAAAACATTAATAGCATGACTACAGTCTCCAAGATGAAATGTAAATCATTTAATTTCTATGTTGGCAATCCGCGAGTCCTGCACCCATAAGACATAGCAGAATTTCCGGTGCGCGTGTCATTTTATGACGTCAGACACCTGTGAGTCACGTGACTCGCTACACTTAATCATTACTAGACATAGAAGCTTTGTTTTCTAAAACTTTCACTAGTGTTGAAATAAGTTACATTCAGAATCTCTTCAGTATGCTTTTCTTTCATGTTTTAACTATGTATTTCTATTTTTTTATTCTATTGGCTGCTGAACTCTGTTGTTTATTTTGTGGGGCCAATTTTAAGCAATTAGATCCCTATATATACTCAGAATAGCCAGGTTTGAAATTTTATCTCATTTGAAAAAGCCCTAGTGGTGAAATGCATTATGCTTATTTTAATTGTGTAATTGTCTTAATAAAAGGCTATTTGGTTACAAGATTGTGCCAATCATCTTTTTAATTACACATTTTTATATTTGGAATTTTTTGCCTGGCCTACTTTTACCTGCCTTTACCTTCGTGTGACTCCAAGTACATCCTGAGGTGTGGGATCATACCACCCCTGCTGATACCACAGTGCAGTTTGCCTGCATTATACTTGTGAGTACAATTTTTCTTATGTTTATTACATTTTTATTTTACTGAGAGCACTATTAGTTGTCTTTATATATTCCTCCTATCACATATCCTTTCAGCGGGGATTATACCGCTGTACGCTCTTCACACCCGAGCTGGATATAGCTATTTTAAATATGAGTTGACCTTACTTATCCATCTATTTTATCTTCACTTGTCAGTGCATATTGCACCATTGGGTTTCCCCATTCTTGTCTTACATACGAGCAAGGAGGATGAGCAACTAAAGCAATTGAGGGCAACTAAAGCAATTGAGGGCACTACACCCAAAAACCAGCACTCCATAAAGACTCCATGAGACTTTGTCTTTGGTTTTTAATGTTTTGGTTATCTCATCTTTTGGTAATTTTATTAGAACTTTAGTCCTATGGGGTTAGTGAGATTATACAAATTATATTGTCCTAGGACAGGGGTAGGCAAGCTTTTGGTAGTGGTGTGCCGAAATAAAATTTTGACGTCCCTTGGTGTGCCGGCAATATAGTCAGAGGAATGCATGGTTAAGAATGTAAATGTTTTATTAATGATAACATCAAATAAAGGTCGGTTTTAACAACAACTAATCATCTTTTTCTTTTTAATGTAATTACTAATTACATTTAAACTTGTTAAAATATTTTAAAAACTTAATAACAGAGAACATACAACAACAAAATGTTTAATTTTTTTTACAGAACAAACTTGTGTCAGTCAGTGAGTGTGTGAGTCTGTCTGTCAGTCAGTGAGTGTGAGTCTGTTGGTCAGTCAGTGAGTGTGTGAGTCTGTCTGTCAGTGAGTGAGTGTGTGAACCTGTGTGTCTGTCTGTCTGTGTTAGTGAGTGTGTGTGTGTGTGAGTCTGTCTATCTGTCAGTGAGTGTGTGTGTGAGTCTGTCTGTCTGTCAGTGAGTGTGTGTGTGGGGGTCAGTCAGTGAGTGAGTGTGTGTGGGTCAGTCAGTGAGTGAGTGAGTGTGTGTGGGTCAGTCAGTGAGTGTGTGTGTGGGTCTGTCAGTGACTGAGTGTGTGTGGGTCTGTCAGTCAGTGAGTGTGTGTGGGTCTGTCAGTCAGTGTGTGTGTATGTATGTATGTATAAGTCAAGGTGCCTGTTAGTGAGTGTGCGGGTTTAGGTCACCAGCCCCCCTTTCGATCGCTTGGGAATGGTGTTTTTACTCACCTTTTTTCCCAATGCCGTGCCTGTCTCCATAGCTGAGATGATCAATCTTGATGATTTCAGCGAATCCAATGCTTTCCTGTAGGAAAGCATTGGGAGATATTGAGCATGCATGGTAAAATGCTGCACCAATCAGCATCTCCTCATAGAGATGCATTAAATCAATGCATTTCTATGGGGAGCATTCTGCGCCTCCATGCAGATAGGAGACACTTTAGTGGCCGTTTGAGTGACTGCCACTAGAGATGTTACTAGGCAGCAATGTAAACACTACCTTTTCTCTTCTTTATTTTGCATCTTCCTGAGTGAGAGACCCTTATGTAAGTGTGTAATCGCTGCCCGGGCCACTTTTTCTATGCAAGCTGCCAGCTTCTCCCAAAAGGCGTTTTCGGCCGATCCTGCACATCCCATTCCCCACTGTCTGGGTCAGAAGCGCACACCGTGGCTGTCATTTTACTTGCCTCGTGGTGTCGGCTTTGCGGTGGTCATGTGCTCTCAGTTCCCTGAAAAATCTCCTGGGAACGTACCGTGATTACCCCCACCGGACCAAAGGGGAGAGGTAGTGCCAGGGCTCAGCACAGGCTGCTCAAGGCGGGAGATCGGTTGCCTCTCCCTTCCCTGGTGCACACCAGGCCGCAATATGCTGGAAGCCCCCTCCAGGACCGTGTCAGCCACAATCACCGCTTGTTGCCAGGAGGAGGGTAAACCCAATTTAGGGCTACTGCAATATCGATTTAGAATGTGGCAGGGCCCAGCAGGGTCCCCAAAAACAACAACCGTAGCCATTTCTATGTATCTAAGTGGTTATGTTGCCTGGAGTCCGTGGGTGCCAGGATCCTCATCACTACTAAATGGTTTCTCACCATTTAGCAGAGCAGGTTGGTCCCCAGGAACCCGGCCTCCAATGATGATGCAGAGAAGACAGAATTATGCTTCCAGCTACCAGAGATTAGTACAGTGATTGACTAGGAGTGATCAGTTTACACGCTCAGCCTCTCACTGCCGCTAACTATGTTATGGTGTAAACTTGCATAGAAATTTACAGCATTTAAGTTTATCACAGGTCTCAAACTATGTACAGAGCATATTTAATGTATCCAGTGGTATATTTTGGATTTGTGCTGCCCTAGGCATGAGGAACTCAGGAACCCCTAATTTAAATTCGCCCCACCCCTTCCTGCCAAGGTTACATATCTTCCTGTTAAAGACTAACACGCATTTTGACAGACAGACACACACACCCACAATCACTGATGACAGACACTGACATACACATTCACAGATACGCACACAAATATTTACTGACAGACACACACACACACATTCACTCAGAGACACACTCAAAGACTCACACTGAGAAACACATACATATTTGCTGACAGACACACAAACACACACATTCAATAACAAACACACACAAATTATTATTTTTTTAAAATTTTATTTAAATCCACCCAGCTTTCCCAACAGTAAGGAGGCTGGGTGGATTATTCACCTGGGGTCCAGTGGGGCTGCTGGGCGGGCAGCAGGGCCGTCTTTAATAACGAATGGACCCTGGGCAAGTGTTTGCTTGGGCCCCCTGTGCCCTGCCGCTCTCGCCCCTCACTCCCTGGTATGCAATCACGGCATCCATCCCAACGCAGTGGCGGTACTAAAGTAGAATGAATTTTATTGGGACCCCCAATTGCAAGGTTGGACTAAAGGTAGAACCCCATCTGTCGTGCAACTCCAACAATGCTTTGACAGCTGGGACTCTACCAATTTCCCATGCTTGCAGGGTTGTATTTAGCACTGAGCCATGTTAGTATGTTTGAATGTAAGCATGTGTTTGTATGGAGTATGTTTGTGTGAATGTGTTTGTATGTGGTACTGGAGTTTGAATGCAAGTGTGCATTTATGTGTAGTGTTTGTTTTTGAATGTAGGAGTGTGCTTGTATGTAGTGTTGACGTTTCAATGCAGGAGTGTGTTTTATATGTAGTGTTGAAGTTTGAATGGAGGGGTGTATTTGTATTTAAAGTTGCGGCTCAGATGCACAGGTACACACTCTGACGCACAAGCAGATACACAGATACATACACTGACTACATACAGATAAACAGGCACATACACTGACAGACACACTGACACAGGTACATATATTGACACACACACAGACACATACACTGGTAGACGTACTGACAGACATACTGACACAGGCACATATACAGACATACTGACACACAGACACATATACCGACATACTGACACACACAGACACATACACTGATCAACATACTGACACACATACACTGACAGAAATACTGACACCCACACACTGACAGATATACTGACACCCACATACACTGAGAAATACTGACACACACACACAGGCACATACACTGACACACACAGACTGATATGCTGACACACACACACACAGACATACTGGCACACAGACAGATATACTGACACATGCATACACATGCACTAACAGACATACTGATGCACTGACAGACATACAGACACATACACATACTGACACACACATATATACTGACACACAGACAGACAGACATACTGACACACACACAGACATGCTGACACACACACACATACACTAACACACACATACACTAACACACACACAAACACACACGCACGCACAAACACACACACACTAACACACATACACTAACACACAAACACACACACTAACACACATAAACACACACATACATACACTAACACACACATACACTAACACACACACACAAACACACACACTAACACACATACACTAACACACAAACACACACACTAACACACATAAACACACACTAACACACATAAACACACACATACATACACTAACACACACATACACTAACACACAAACACATACACTAACACACACTAACACACATACACTAACACACACAAACACACACATACATACACTAACACACATACACTAACACACAAACACTAACACACACATACACTAACACACAAACACTAACACACACATACACACACACACACAAACAAACACACACATACACACACAAACACATAGACTAACACACAAACACACACACTAACACACACACACAAACAAACACACAAACACATACACTAACACACAAACACACACACATACACACAAACACACATTTTTTTTTTTAAATGTAATCCCCCCAGCCTCGTTACCTTTTGGAGTGCTGGGGGGATTCCCTGGGGTCCAGTGGTGCTGCTGCTGGGCTCCTGGGCAGGTGGCCGGTCGGGCAGGAAGGCGGGCGCGCGAGGGAGCACTCACTGCTTCCTCTTCAGCTCCCTCGCGCGCCGCGTAGGGATGCCGGCGCCGGAAGATGACATCATCTTCCGGCTCCGGCATCAGTGCGGTGCGCGAGGGAGCTGAAAAGGAAGCAGTGAGTGCTCCCTCGCGCGCCCGCCTTCCTGCCCGACCGGCCACCCGCCCGCCCGCCGGGGTCAGCGGGGCCCACGGGGCAGGTGCCTCGGGCCCCCCAAGAGAAACTGGGCCCGGGGCAGCTGCCCCGTTTGCCCCGCGTTAAAGACGGCCCTGGCGGGCAGGCAGATGAGGTTGCGAGCAGGCATGCGGGAAAGCAGACGGACTCGTAAAGTAGGCAGTGAGGGAACTGTGATCATCTTGCTCAGCTCCCTCGCGCGCCACTTAGCTTAGTAATGCCGGCATAACTAAACAGCGCCTGCCTGGAAAGCAACTGGCTGCCTGCCCCTTGGGGCCATTCCCTCAAGCCTTTACAAATAGAGACCAGGGCATACAGGGAATGGTCTGTACAGCTTGCAATCTAACACAAGTTAACATTTATGTGATATAAATGGACTGTCTGATACAGACAGTTTTTCATATCACAGTAAAGTTAACTTGAGTTAGATTGCAAGCTCCTGGGGACCATCCCTTTATGCCCTGATGAGCATGTATTTGTAAGATAAATAGTGTGGCACTGGCACCTTGTAAATTAAGGCAATTTACTTGATCGTATTCAGGGTCAGGGACTGACAGGCAAACAGTGAAGTGGTAGTAGCAGTGGCAGACACAAGGGACAAGGCAATCTGATTTTGTGAGACAAGTCAGCTGCAGAAGTGACCCTGTGATCACTACTGCTTCTGATTGGCTCACATAAACAAGAAGCCCCACACAGATTTGCTTGGAGTGACCTGTAAATGAGTCATCCAGGCAGAGGATGCTTCTAACAGAGTGGGAGGGCTGGAGGTGGAGCCTAAAGCCTGGACAGGAGGCGGGGCTAAAATCAAGACAGAAGGCGAGGCTAATGTCAAGGCAGGAGCTGGGGCTGAGGATGCAGCTAACAGAGTGGGAGGGCTGGAGGCGGGGCTAAAGGCTAGGCAGGAGGCGGGGCTTAAGGTTAGGTAGGAGGATGCTGCTGACAGAGTGGGAGGACTTGAGGCAGTGCACACAGTGGCAGACGTCATTGGAGCCATGGTAAGAACAGCCTAATAGGCGGAACTCCAGATCGCAAGTTCTTGCGATGCTGGAAGTTCTGCGGCCGCGCAAGTTCCTCTCTGCTTTCCCCCAGTGTAGAGTGGGCGGCAGCCTCGCGTGCCACTCAAATGTATACCGCGTGCCGCGGATGGCACGCGTGCCAGAGGTTGCCGACCCCTGTCCTAAGACTATTGTGTATACTATTATTACTACTTGTATTACTAATATTTACCTCTTGGCGCAGCCCTTCTTCTGTTATTTTTTGTGTCACATGTGTTATCTTGAGAGGGTTTGAGGGTTACCCTTTGTTGGGCCGCCACCTACATTATATTTAATATTAGCGCTTACCCTTGTTCCACTCTTTTTATTTATATATATATATATATATATATATATATATATATATATATATATATATAAAATGCCAAAAGAGAGCTGCTAACCGGTCTTTTAAAAATCAAATACTTTATTCAAATCAGGATAAAATCAGCGACCAACGTTTCAGTCCCCGCTCGGGACTTTCCTCAGGGTCAAAATGACAGGACAACAAAAAGTACATGCATACAATGACAATATATAGTTATGTTAGCAATTAAGAATAACTCACCCAGGTACAGTGTGTCAATCGTGGCTACCGCCGTGTATACTTCCGGGTCCTCATTTACTTGGGCAACCCAGAATAAGAACTCCATATTCAAGACAGCCCAAAATGCAGCAGCCAGGCTATTGTCCAACTAAACACAATCATGTCACATAATACCTGTTCTCCACTACCTGCATTGGCTTCCAGTTAAATGGCGAACATATTTTAACATTGACTTGCTGACCTTCAAAGCCTTAAACAATCAAGACCCACAGTACCAGAAAGAATGCATGACATTGTATATTCCATTCTGTTCACTTTGGCCTGAATGCCTCCTATCGGTACCCAAGATGTCAACAAACTTAGATTCCTATAAAAATCACAAATTATTATTATACTGTTTATATCACCTCTATGTAATATATAATTAATTTTAGGAGAGCAAAAAACAAGTTGCAAGAGAGTGCTGACAACAGCCCAATTAGCCTGCCCTTTGGTGGGTCCCCGCTCAGTTCTCAAGATGGTTTTAGCTCATCTTGTGCCATTACAAAGAGAACCAGACCATGCATCTCAGATTGATTCCACCCAAAAGGGAAGAACAGTTCCAAAATGCAGGCCAGCTCTCTCTGCACTAGAGATACAGCAATCTCAGATGATCGTTTCAACCTTGCTGGCATCATCAGTGAGGTATAGCCAATATCCCTCTAGGCACCTTGAGCAAGGGGTCCACATCTCTTTCTCATGGTGACTAGAGGGATATTGTCTATACCTCACTGATGATACCTTACAAGGTTGAAACGATCGTCTGGGGTTACCATATCTCTTGTGCAGAGGGAACTTGCTGGCATTTCGGATCTGGACTGCCCGTTTTGGTGGGACCAGTCTGATATGCTTCAGATATGTTCTCTCTGTAATGGCACAAGTTGAGCTAAAACCAGCTCGAGATCTGAGCGGGAACCCACCGAAGGGCTGACTAATTGAGCTGTTGTCCGTTCTCACCTCTCTTGCTACTTATTTTTCTCTCTATAATTCTCTTTAATAATGTCTGCTGGCTCTAAAATGCTGAGTTCAGAAAGTGAAATTACAATGGATCTCTATTTAGTTGATCACAGTACATATAGCGCTGTACATATAGCGCTGTACATAATGGTGACCTTCATCACAGCCTTAGGTTCAGAAGCGTAACCTATTAGCAGGACTGGTAAAAAAATTTTGTCCCAAACAAAAATGTATTTCTCACTTCTTTCTCACACTTGTAATTTTTCATTTTGACAGTGTTTTTTCATACACTTTTTATCTCTGTCTCATGTACCACTTGTCTTTGTCTTCCTGCTTCCATCAGCTTTTATTTTTTTTCTGTCTATCCACCTCTCTTTGTTCAACACTGCTCTTTTCCCTGTATCTATTAAACTTGTCCCACATGGATGTCCTATATTTTTTCCTCTTCCTTGTTTCCTTGGTCTCTTCTGCCTGCCTCAAGTGTGGTAGTGGCTGAATATATTAGAAGTAAGGCTTTGTGATCTGTATAATAAAATGTGTATATGTTTGTGTGTGTGTATGTTGGGCTACATACATGTAGTGGGAACGGTCTGGGGCTTTGAGTGTGATGTGAGTTATCTAAACAGGTGTGTGTGTGTGTGTGTGTGTGTGATATACATTTTTTGTAACTTCATGTGCATTTGTAGTTGTGGGGGCTCAGAGACACATGAGGCACATAACAATACAGTGTAAATAAATTGTCATCTAAACTTTATTAAAAAAAAGTTATAAGGGGCATGCACTCAATGAGCAATCTCCAGCATAACCAAAAACTTCACAGATGAAGACTACTCAATGGACTTGTTCAAATTCCCTCATTTTATTGGAAATTATCTTTCAATATTTTGGTCCTCACACAGGAGTTCTGTCAAGACATAATATAACCCAAAACACTCCCATAAAGCGGTACAGCCACAACAAAATGCGGTAAGGCCATATGTCATCCTCACACCCAGGGATAGATTTGCCATAAGGCAGAGTCCATTAGTGGGCACCTGTTTCCAGCTTGAATATGCTGGAGGGGGAGATAGGTACCAGAAGTCTTGGCCAGTGTCCACTTTAGTCCAGGGAACCTTAATAGCAGACCTGATGAAACAGTTATAGAGGGTGTAAAACTCAGTGCTGTCACAGCTCCTCCATGTTCTGTGTATGAGGCTGGACAGGAAGTGAAAGGAATCACTTCCTATCTGCCCATTAGTAACCTCCACACAGGAAATGCCTGGCAGAAGGAGCAGGGGAAGCTTTACCTGATGCACACTGTGCAACCACTCTTGCAGCTCTAATATCATCAGTCTGATTGGTCTACAGAAGACAGGAGGGTGAGTACTTCACAAATAACCCTTTAAACTCTAGCATTCAATGCTCTCTTTAACTCCTCTTAAAAACTAAACACCCAGTGTACCCCAATACTAAATTTAACCAAGCTCTAGCCCTAAACTCAATAATCCTTAACAACTCTTGAACTACAACTTTAACCCCTCTCAAGCTATTAGTCATTTTAACACTACACACCCTATGTAATCTAACTCTGACAATAACCCATCTCTAACCTTTACCGTAATCACTATCTTACCACATTATATTTAACTGATTTTACACAGCTGCATACACTCCCTGCACTCTCAGTTTTAAGCACAATACATTACCAGCAGAGCAGATATATGCACAAACATACATTTAAACATATGCAATTTAAATGTTTTTAGGCCTGCAATATCCAGTTAATATATTTATCATACTTTATCTGCCTTACTTTGGGGTGGGAGAGCAGGAAGCGCCTGAGAATTTAGTGCTTACAGGTGGCTGACATATAAATCCA